ATATATATATATATATATATATTTGTGATCATCAATCAGGCCTTAAAAACAAATGGAATAACCTGCATTTCCAGTCTTTATGCATGTTTGTATGTTTATTTTGTTTATGCGCTGTTTACTTTATTTAGTTTTTGCGTATAATTCGTTTAAAGTTTATTTATTTGTGTGTCATGTATATCTGTTTATTCTCATTTTTCAAGCTCACTAGTGTCACGCCCATGGACGGTTTTGTGTTTGTTTTCCTCCCCCACATGCTCCATGTTCTAGTTTTCCCCCATGTTTCATTATGCCCTTATTTGGTCTTTCCTGTTCTTGTTCCCATTATGCTAATTTGATTCCAGCTGTGTCCCATTTATTCCCTCGCTTAGTTCATTGTTACTTAAGCCCTGTGTTTCCCAGTGTCGAGTGTGTGGTGTCATACGTCAATACCCGGTACTACGTGTGTGTTCCTTGTAGTTTGGACTATTAAAAACGGTTAATTATAATTCTTCCACGTCTCCGCGCTCCTTCGTCTCCTCACAGTAGTGCATCGTGACAGAACACCGGACCCATACAAGATGACAGAGGCTAAGGACAGGCCGTGGTGTTTGCGGCAGGCTGGTCGGAAGTTGGAGGGATATGTGGAGGAATTCCTTGAGCTTTCCAACCAGGTGAGCTGGCATGACGCTGCTCTTGGTGCGTGTTTCCAGCTGGGGCTGGACGATGATACGATCCGCTGAGATCTTCCCACGTGTGATTATCCCCTGATCGATCTCGTCCTTTATTTAAATGGTTCCGAATTCGAAGTGGAAGAAGTAAAGGAAAATTTAAAGTCTCCTCGTCCAGCCCCCTCTGGAACACGTCATGTCTCCTGAGCTCACCCCACACCAGGAACCCCCACATACCTCGCCAACGGCTCTGACCACCTGCCCAACACAAGGTACCCCCGAGTTCTCCAAAGCTCCTTCCTGGTCCTCAGCACAGAGCCACCGGCTGCTCCAAAGTCAAGCCCGCCGTCCCCTCCATCATCAAGCCCACCATCCGCTCCATCGTCAAGCCCGCCAGCCATTCCATCACCAAGCCTGCCGGCCAATTCACTCCCAAGCCCTCAGCTGACAGCAGCTGTCTCCCTCACCTCTAACCAAAAGAGGAGAATGCGGAGAAAAAGACTGTTGGCTCCAGCCCCTGAGTCCACTCCTGAAAGGGCTCCAGTTCCCACGTCCAGCCCAAGGAGGGCTCCAGTCCCCAAGTCAAGCCCAGAGAAAGACTCTGTTCCCAAATTAAGCCCAGAGAGGGCTCCTGTTCCCACGTTCAGCCCAAGGAGGGCTCCAGTTCCCAAAGTTAAACCCAGAGAGGGCTCCTGTTCTCACATCCAGCCCAGCGAGGGCTTCCTTTCCTAAGTTAAGCCTAGAGATGGCTCCTATTCCCACGTCCAGCCCAGAGAGGGCTCCTGTTCCCAAGTCAAGCCCAGGGAGGGCCGCTGCTCCTGCGTCAGGCCCATGGAGGGCCTCAGAACCTGAAATTTCCCCCAAGGAATTTTTTTTGGGGGGGGCTATAGGGCTCTGGCCGTAGAGGCCGTGCCGAGGCCCCCTGAGCTCCCTGCTCCACCATGGCCCCCTGAGCTCCCTGTTCCGCCATGGCCCCCTGAGCTCCTTGCTCCGCCATGGCCTCCTGAGCTCCCTGCTCTGCCATGGCCCCCTGAGCTCCCTGCTCTGCCATGGCCCCCTGAGCTCCCTGTTCTGCACATCCAGCCCAGCGAGGGCTTCCTTTCCTAAGTTAAGCCTAGAGATGGCTCCTATTCCCACGTCCAGCCCAGAGAGGGCTCCTGTTCCCAAGTCAAGCCCAGGGAGGGCCGCTGCTCCTGCGTCAGGCCCATGGAGGGCCTCAGAACCTGAAATTTCCCCCAAGGAATTTTTTTTGGGGGGGGCTATAGGGCTCTGGCCGTAGAGGCCGTGCCGAGGCCCCCTGAGCTCCCTGCTCTGCCATGGCCCCCTGAGCTCCCTGTTCCGCCATGGCCCCCTGAGCTCCCTGCTCCGCCATGGCCCCCTGAGCTCCCTGCTCCACCATGGCTCCCTGATCTCCCTGCTCCGCCATGGCCCCCTGAGCTCCCGGATCCGCCATGGTCCCCTGAACTGCCTGATCCACCCTGGAGACCTTCCTTGTCCCCGTCCTGCATCAGCCTCCAGGGCGCCCACCCCCCCTCCCCGGTGGAATTGTTACAGCGTGAGTAATATCACACCTATGGACGGTTTTGTGTTTGTTTTCCTCCCCCACAAGCTCCATGTCCTAGTTTCCCCCCATGTTTCATTATGCCCTTATTTGGTTTTTCCTGTTCCTGTTCCCATTATGTTCATTTGATTCCAGCTGTGTCCCATTTATTCCCTCGTTTAGTTCATTGTTACTTAAGCCAAGCCCTGTGTTCCCCAGTGTCGAGCGTCCGGTGTCATACGTCAATACCCGGTACTACGTGTGTGTTCCTTGTTGCTTGGACTATTAAAAAACTGTTAATTAGAATCCTTCCACGTCTCCACGCTCCTTCATCTCCTCACAGTAGTGCATTGTGACAACTAGCACTCCCATTTTTTTTGTTTACATATTTTTACATACAGTGTGCATGTTGGATGTGTTACACTTAATACACAATTATACTTAATTATTGAAATTGTAATTTGATGTGCTTTCTCTTCACTTGTCAATTGCTATGACAGTTTTTACACTAGTGGGGTCCATTTTCATGATCTTGCCTAGGGCCCCATAACCCTACAGGCCAGCACTGTTAGACCATGTAGGAAATAATTACTAAAATATATTTGCAAATCACTAAACACTGGTGATGTATAGCTCTGAAACACTATGTCTTCATATTATCCAGATTAACCTTCGGTAACTGTTGATTCTGAAGCCTGGACAAATATATTTCAAACCTGGAGGATGTTGGGCGTGTAATGTCATTGCTGTTTTCACGTTTACTAATTACAGAACGTATTTGTCAGCTAAACCACATTGTCATAAAATGTTTACTTGAAATAGCTTTACTTGAGAAAGTCATTATTTCAATAATTTAACAACACATTTGCATGTTTACAGTTTGGTATTGGTTAAAAGTCACATTGACATGCAGGTATACAAATAAAATAATTCAGTTTTTAGTGCTCAAGTATTTAAATTATTTATTTTATTTTACATGTTATGATGTTAATTATTAGCTTTTTATCAACTCACAAACCCACTTAATTTCTTACATTAAGACCTTGCAAATTATGATGTTGATATAAAAATGAATTTAATGTATCTATCTGAATGTTCTTCCTTTTTGCTTTTTTATAAATATGGTACATTTAATAGTAAGTTTAAAACAAGTCAGTTAAAAAAAAAAGTAATCCAAAAGGTAATCAGAATATATCACTGAAAATGTGTAACCTAGACTATGTTACTAACTACAGTTGTCATCATGTAACCTGTAATTAGAAACGGTCTAAAATTTACCCAGCACTGCTGATCGACAGGTTCTTCTTCTGTTATTTTTTAAAAATGTGTTTTCTAGTCATAAATAATGTAACAATCAGATTAACATTATCTGGTTGTTAATACTTCTACCCTACAAACAAACAAACAAATAAATTAATAAATAAATCTTGCTGGTTGTACGTTTGGGACTGGGAGTTTCATTCTTCCAGTCCTCCTCTGAGATCCTATTGGTGCCAGTAAGTTTGCAAAGAAGAGCATCTCCTTCCCATTGGCAAACAAGGAGTTAAAAGGGAATAGAAATGAAGAGGTGAAACATGAACACAAACCGCTCAGAGGAGAGCAGAGAAAGATGTGTGTGCTGCTGACAGACTCTCGTCTCTTCATCTGATCTCCGCTCAGAATGCAGGCGCTCTCCGCAGATGCTTCGGGGGAAAGTTGCAAGAAGATGAAGGTGGAAAATCTGAAGAATGAGAAGTTGCAGTGCATCTCGGATTGTAACAGAGATGCACCGACAGCAACTTTCATTGACAAACAGGGTTAGTGTAGCATAAATGAGAGGGAGAAGAAAAAATATCAATGTCCGACATCTGTTTTAAGTATTTGTGCTGCATTACCATTTATGTAATCTATGTAATTTTGATGACTTGTGAAGATCATCGAAAAAACAAGAAGAACAGCGTGAAGTCCAGCAGACCTGCAGGCACAGAAAGTGAAGCTGCGAGAGAAGTTGGACTAGATCTTCAAGGATGTGACCTGTGGAAGAGATTTCATGAGATCGGCACAGAGATGATCATCACCAAAGCTGGAAGGTGATCACAATTTAACCTTAATATTAGCCTACTCTTGTGTTGACCTTTAAGGCTGGATTGCACTAAAATGAGGAATATATTTCTGTGTGAGTTTGTCGTGTTTAGAACGACAGTCTGTTTACAGTATGTGATCCTTGTTTAATGTACAATGCCCCGGTTTTCTCTTTTATAAAGAGATGGTTTTCAACCATTTATAAAGTTGGCAATTGTATGAAGCTGAAAAAAATACCCTCTCATAGCTTAAAGCTAAAAAAAAAACAGTGAAATCTGTAAACTCTGACTGCCCAAAAATCATACATAATTAGTGCAGCTTGTCAGTCTTTATTTTGACTCATGTTTTATCTATTGGAAGTAGGCCTATACTAACTGTATTATGCTATTCAGTATGTTTAACTGTAACTAGTGAAAGTGCAGTAATGATGTTATAATGTAAGTGTTGATTGAGTATCTATCATCTCCTCAGGAGAATGTTCCCCTCTGTCCGAGTCAAGGTGCACAATCTGGATCCCGACCAGCAATACTCCATTGCCATGGACATCATGCCTGTGGACTCAAAGAGATACAGGTCCTTCAGTCTGAACTGATTATCATACAAACAATTAAATCAATGAATGAAGATGCTGAGAATAGTAAAAGACTAATACCTGCAATGTAATCAAATCGCATCTCAAATAAATGCTTAGTCAGTAAAAAACTATTAAGTAATGACATACACTTGCTTCAGATGCTTAAATCATGTATTGAGGAGCACAAGGAACGGCACTAGAAGTCTTCTTGATTGTTACCATCACCTGTGTCAGGTATGTGTACCACAGCTCTCAGTGGATGGTGGCTGGAAACACGGATCATTCCTGCGTTCCTCCTCGTCTCTGTGTCCACCCGGACTCGCCGTCTTCAGGACAGACCTGGATGAGACAGGTCATCAGCTTTGATCGAGTCAAACTCACCAACAATGAGATGGATGACAGAGGCCATGTGAGTAACATGACGTCCTCTGCACAACAACAATTAACAATAACAGTTATATATATATATGTAAACTAAATATGTCCAATGTGAAATTCAGATCATCCTGAAGTCCATGCACAAGTACAGGCCACGCATACACGTCATTCAGCACAGTCCTCTTGAGACTCTGGTGTCTCTGCCGGCGGATGGCGTCTACACCTTCTCCTTCTGTGAGACTCAGTTCACCACTGTCACAGCCTACCAGAACCAACAGGTGACTCATCTCGACACTTAACTCTGCAGTTTAGCTCAGATTAATAGGACATGCTTCTGCGTTTATGTTGGAACATTTGACAAAATTTGAGTGGGGTCCAAAAGTCTGGGACGATACTGAAATCTGAGTAAAATGTATGTCTAAATTACACTGACCCGGATGTAGAGTGCAGATGAATAGAAATAATTATTGGTAGCTTACATAATAAAACCTCTTCTATTACACATGTATTACAGATACTATAAAACCTGGAACATGTAATGCTATGGCAAGTCATTCTGATTTCAAGCATATGATATTAAAACACAATTTATTTCTCGTAATTGTGACTTTTTTTCTAACAGTTCTGCTTTTTTCGCACAACTGTGAGTTTACTTCTTTTCTCAAAGTTGTGAGATAACAATATGCAATTGTGAGTTATAACGTCCAATTCAGAGGAAAACTTTTTTTTTTTTCTCAGAACTTTTAGTTTATATCTTACAATTTTGACTTTATAACTCACAATTGCTTGTTATGAAGACAGAAATGTGAGATATAAACTTGCAGTTGTGAGAAATTCTGACTTTATTTCTCAGAAAAGTTTTGTCGTTTTAATTTATAGCTCACAATTGCAAGTTTAAATCTCACGATTCTGAGAAAAACATCAGAAGTGTGAGATAAAATGTTGCAATTGCATATTTTTATTTTATTCAGTGGTGGAAACAGTCTTCCAATTATTTTTTCCAAATTATAGGTCTGTATGGAGAAACTGATTGTGTGTTTTCTGCTACCTTTAAGATAACAAAACTGAAGATCGAGCGGAATCCTTTTGCCAAGGGCTTCAGGGAACGAAATGGGTAATGAAAGTTACTGTCTGCATGAACTCTATTACATATGTTTGCCAAGCTATTAAAAGGTTTTTACAGTGGCGGAATAATCTTAAATAAGCACATAACAATAGATGACTTTTATGACTCTTGATGATGTTGTACATGTGTTAGCAGACTTCTGAAATCTCACCGTCTCATTCTTCTAGAGGCGTGCTGGAGTCGTATGCATGGCACAGTCCCTTCAACCTCGATTTCAAATCTTTTGCTATGGAGCTACAGGGTATGTTTCATTTTGTTATTATTTTAGCTAAAATGCTCATTAACAATAGTTTCCATTAAGAATAACAATATGCAATTGTGAGTTATAACGTCCAATTCAGAGGAAAACTTTTTTTTTTTTCTCAGAACTTTTAGTTTATATCTTACAATTTTGACTTTATAACTCACAATTGCTTGTTATGAAGACAGAAATGTGAGATATAAACTTGCAGTTGTGAGAAATTCTGACTTTATTTCTCAGAAAAGTTTTGTCGTTTTAATTTATAGCTCACAATTGCAAGTTTAAATCTCACGATTCTGAGAAAAACATCAGAAGTGTGAGATAAAATGTTGCAATTGCATATTTTTATTTTATTCAGTGGTGGAAACAGTCTTCTTCCAATTATTTTTTCCAAATTATAGGTCTGTATGGAGAAACTGATTGTGTGTTTTCTGCTACCTTTAAGATAACAAAACTGAAGATCGACCGGAATCCTTTTGCCAAGGGCTTCAGAGAACGAAATGGGTAATGAAAGTTACTGTCTGCATGAACTCTATTACATATGTTTGCCAAGCTATTAAAAGGTTTTTACAGTGGCGGAATAATCTTAAATAAGCACATAACAATAGATGACTTTTATGACTCTTGATGATGTTGTACATGTGTTAGCAGACTTCTGAAATCTCACCGTCTCATTCTTCTAGAGGCGTGCTGGAGTCGTATGCATGGCACAGTCCCTTCAACCTCGATTTCAAATCTTTTGCTATGGAGCTACAGGGTATGTTTCATTTTGTTATTATTTTAGCTAAAATGCTCATTAACAATAGTTTCCATTAAGAGCAATCATGCATTCATTGAATCTGACTGCAGGCAGATGTTATGGACCTCCAGCAAGCTTCGGTATCTCCTCCTCAGTGCCATCCTTCTTGCCCAGCTGCTTCTCTCCAGCAGCTCATCCCGTCACGTGTTCAAGCCCTCAGTGCTGCGAGATGCTCCCTTCACACAGTGTTCTCACATACAGAGCGTACTGCAGCATCTGCCTGGGCAATCTCAGCACTTACGCTGGGCTGCGACCCGTGTTAGATCTGCCCTTCATGACGGCTCTCCAGGTGAAGAAAGGAGACAGCTGTAGGATCCGCTGGCTCCAGGACTCTACCTCCAGAAGTGCTTCAGCTGGATGGGCCTCTGGAGACCATCAAACTCAGAAAGACAACAGAGAGCCAGCCTTCGTCTCTCCCTACAGCTACAGTCCCCCCACGAGCCGCCGCTTCTCTACTGTTACTCATCATCTAAAGCTGGCTCATGCTGAGAGCCTGTTTACCAAATGCCCCTGATCTCCTCCATCAGTTACTGCCCCGACACCAAACCTGTCAAACATGCTCTCTAGTGAGGGCACTTGTACCCCAATACAGCATGATCTCATGAGCACACTTACATTTACACAGAAACTAAAATGTAAATATTGAAGTGTGTGAATAGTACCATTTTTGTATGAACAGCTTTAGAGAAATAAAAATGTTTATGAATCCTTATTGAATCTATGAACATTAAATTCATGGAATTAACCAGTTGATTCTGTTGTATTTATAATCCATGAGATTAATAATGTTTTCAATGCTGTTTGAAAAGAAAAAAAGTTAAGTCGTTGCAACTTTGAAACTGTAATGTTTTATTTTGTTCAGTAACATCTGGTGCCACATCCAACTTGTTTTAAAAGAAATGCACAATTGTAAACAAGACTCAATCTTAAAATGAATACAAACTCTATAATCATTTAACCATTTCTTATCATGATTTTTTCTTTTTCTTTTTGTTGGTATGGCACACAAAATGAGTTTTCTGAATATGCTTTGGTTTCAGCACAAACCACGCTAATATTTTCATTAAAGTAATCCATTTTATTTGCACAGAAGAGCTATTACAAGGTTTAACATCAGTGAAAAGCTTATTGGCTCTTGCGTGTAATGGAGCTGATTGTGAGACTCTGTAGATCGGTCAATGCATGTGAGAAGCTTTCCCTGCAGGCTACAGCAGTGGTCATCAGTGCTGGGAAGGTTACTTTAGGTTACAGATTACACATGACCCTATCTAAAATGTAATAAGTAGTGCAAATATCCCAATTACTTTATTAAAGTAGTGTAACGGATTACATTTGATTACTTTTTGATTACTTTTCTAAATTCCTAACAAATGTTTTCAACTGTTAATCATTTTGAAACATTTAACTTTACAGCACTCAACACTAATTACTGTCAGCCTTCTCAAAATCCTTCGTTACTTTAAGCATTGAATAAGCATATATCCTATGCCCTAAACTCCTGAATATGGTGTTTCACAGTTATTCATTAATGACGGACCAGTGTTACCCTCACAGTATATATTGTGTAATGGACTGTGAGCTTATAAAACTATAATATTTGTTAATTGTGTTGTGTGTAATGGTGAATAGCAGCATGCATGTGTGGGAAGCTTGGATACTTCTACCTCAGTGAGTAGAAAACTGTCTGAATCAGAAGCCACTGTTGTGTTGTTCGTTTCACCTCTTCCCCATCAACTCTCCAGTACAGCAAGACCTAACAAGCTAACAAGTGCTAGAACAGCAGGTTTCATGACCCTATCTTCATGTTTTATGGTGTGGTTTAGAGCTGGATTCGAGATTAGATTTGCCATATAGAATATGTTGGTCTATGTAAGTGTACTGTATGCATGCAGATAAAGTTGAATATTCTATATATATAACATTAAATATGTCGCTTGTTGATAATAAAGTTGACAGTTTGCAATAATATAAGCAATCAAGCAGCTGAGATTCTATTTATCACATCACATGAGCGTACTGTATGTACAGTATGTGGGTGTGTATTTGATGATGCGTATCACTGACACTTGTAAATGATGCGCATAAAGGGTAAGATTTTGATCGTATTGTATCATATTTTACACAGCACATTGTACATAATAGTCTCGTTTAGTCCTCAAGTGTGAAAGCCAAAGGCAACTGTGGCAAGAAATGAAAAACCTAATTTGATCTTGGATAATGGAGACCAAAAAAAAAAAATAATAATAAAAAAAAAACTTGGGAGAAACCAGGAAACACCAGGTGGCAAGTTCCCAAATAATGTCAGTAAAGAGTTGCTATGTTACTACATTGATTGAACTGTAAGATGAAGTCTTTGAGGTCCATCCAGACTTGAAAAGTACAGTGCAGGCAAATTTTGTGCTGTACGATGTAGACAGTATTAGTATTGTTTGTAATATTGAAATTGCTTTGCCACTGTGGATAAAAGGAAAATTATTTTCTCCTGAGGGCACCTTGGCCCAGGAGTGCCTTTAGCCAGTTTATCCAGCTTGCTGTGTGTGACACTTCTCCATTTGATCCATCTGATCCGTATGGCTCTGACTGGAAGAGCGCGGGCCTCAGGATCAGGTGGCCGAGCCAAACAGGTGATTTAGAGCCGCTGCGCTTTGAAGCTGGTGTGTGAGGTCAGTGGCGTCAGGTGCCTGCAGATGCTGCTGTCCGTCTGAGAGCTGATGTTCAGGATGTGTTCCGCGTGGCCCCTCCGCCCCGGGCCCCTGTGCAGGTAATTGATTTCAGGGCACATGCCCCTCCTGCCTCGACCGCTGAGTGTTTAGAGTCCACACCCGGCCTGTGGTGCGCTGTCAACGCTAATTCAATTAGAGACGCAGGAGTGTGACTAACTGCAACCTGCCAAGCAACTTTCCATATGTGTGCCTTAACCCCTCTCACCACACGCACGCACGCACGCACGCACGCTCACTCACACACACACTCACTCACACACACTCACTCACGCACGCACGCACACACACACACACACACTCACTCACTCACTCACACACACACACACACACTCACACACACACACACACACACACACA